CTCCTGTTTAGTAGGGAAAATATCAACTAGTGCACTAAATTCAATAGATGGGATCAAGATATCCAACATAAAAACAGAAAGTTTTAAGAAAGATTTCCAGGGCATGAAGGAAACTGTGCACACAAACAGTGTTATTGGAAATGGAAGAACCAGCTACATATTTTCCTATCTCTACATGTGACTGGCTAGAAGTGAGCAGGCCTTCAGTAAAATGAAGATAATACAAAAAAATGTTTCAATGCAGCTCTGCCTCTCATTTGCATGCATGCTTAGTGAATGTCTCACACACAAACACACACCTTTTTGTACAAAGTTGAATGCACTGTTGCAGCCTTCTGGCTGACTCTATTAGAAATCTGCTGGATTTGATCACACATATAGTTGCTGCCAACTGTCTGATGGCCTAATTATAATCATCCGAGGAATGGCTTGGTGGTGGGTCAAGATGCAGGCCAAGTGGAAGTGGGAATGATCTCACTCAGAGTACATTTTCGTAGCTGTAAAAAATAACTGCAGGTGTTTTTAAATGGATCCATATTTCTCTCTGAATACTCTTGCAATTACAGTTTATGCACAAACTTTGATTAGTACTGAAACACATGGGTTATTGTACAGAGCTCAAGGTGACCTGTTCCTTGTTGTCCTCATTATATTCAAAAACACTGCAGGGATCAACTCCCTGAGGTAGCAAATGAATCAAGACCAGTGCTCGTGTATCCAGAAGAGAAAAAAAACAACCTCTGATTTATCAATAAGCTTTTTGACAGGTTGATATACGTTTCCATTAGGGTCTCCCTCTGCGTGTGTGCAATTCCTGTTGTCTCATGTTTTCTGAATGCTGTATATGTGCCAGCTGTATAACGTTTGTGTGGATGTGATGGGGATACCCATCTGAGCTTTTGGATCACATGGAGCTCTCTCTCTGTCTTTTCCCTAAGTCTACTTTATCTTTATAACCATCAAATTGAAAAGGGTTAATGCAATCCCCTGCAGGCTAAGGCTGAGACAGACATTAACCATCTCTCTATCTCTCTCCACCTTTTCTCTGATGCTCTTTTCCTCCATTTTTCTCTTTTGTTAAAGTCTAATTACTTTCACAAAGCGGCTTCACTCGTCCTGTAAATAATAACAAATCACAATTCAGAACGTTCCGGAGGCTGGCTGGGTTGGTTGTTTTGCAGTCCTAAAGTATTATCTTGCTAATGTCCTGCTAACAAGATGGTGCTGGATTGAAATGTCACAGGTGTGTGACTCTTGGCCACATTTACCCCAGTTTGATCAGAGCTTCCACTCTGCCCAGCTGCAAACTGCACAGCAAATAGGCAACAGTAAAAACCATTTACGGTGTCTTCTTATGGCGGTGAGGGTGGCGGCGAGCTGATGGCATGCATTCAGAAATCTCATAGCTCCATCAGGAAACTGAAAAGATCCCTGGATCATCGCCTTCCCATCATTAATTAGTGTGTAAATTTAAATTGGAGATGCACCAATGTTTTTTTTTAATCCAATACGATACCCGGGCTGAGCGTGTCCGCCGATATCTGTTACTGATTGATGTGTTGAATGAATGAACCATATATCTTGAAATGTGACTGAAGGCTCAACCCTTGGCATAAACAAGACAGCAGTACATATCCAGACCTTCTACAGAAGCACCATAGAGAGCGTTCTGACCAGCTGTCCCACTGAAGAGAAGATCATCAGGGCTCCTCTTCCCTCCATAAATTACATTTCATCCCAGCGCTGCATGTCACGAGCCCGTAACATTATCAATGACCCCTCACACCCGCACCATGGACTGTTCTCCCTGCTGCCCTCTGGTAAGAGGCTCCATAGCATTCAATGCAGATCCAGCAGATTCTGCAAAAGCTTTTTCCCCACTGCCATCAGACTGCTGAACTGTTGAGAAAAGTCTAAATCATGTCACAAACTCTGCATCACACTGATAACACCAAACCAAAAATACTGCATGTTTGTACCATATATATTTATGCTCTGAACTTCCATATTAATGCGTTTTTTGCACCATGTTTTTCTCTCCCACACTGTTTACATTTGATCACTGCTACACCTAATAGTATGGAAATGTTCATTTACTGTCTGAAAAGCTGTACTAAACAAAATTTTGTTTTGAATACACTTTGTGTGTGCAAAATGACAAGAAATGTTGTCTAAGTCACAATGTTACAAAAAGGTAAAAGATTAGCACAGATAGAAATGTACTTTATTCTATTTATTAACAAATAACCAGCATAAAGAAATAAATTACAGCTCCAATATAATCCAGTTGTAAAGTAACATTTAAATCCAAACGCATACTTTCTGAGTCAGTCCACAAAACCTTTAAATTTCTGCTTATATTTTGGGAAATATATCTGTCTAAGAAAGCCAAACTAATTCCATCAATGCAAGGCATGCTTATTTATACAGCACAGTTTAGTACAAAGACAATTCAAAGTGCTTTACATGAATTCAGCTTTAAACTATAAGGAAAGTAGGTGCCTAATAAAAGCAAGTAAAGATAAAAACATGATAAAATCAGGTAGCAAATAAAACAGTTGGACCACAAACTTAAACCGTCCTCAGTTAGAAATCTAAAGAAATAGGTTTTTAACTTCGACTTAACAGAATTCAGGCTTTCAGCACTTTAAAAATCTTCTGGGATTGTTTTTTGCCAGATAAGTGGAGCATAGGAACTTTATGCTGCTTCTCCATGTTTGATTCTAGTTCTGGATGTACAGAGTAGGCTGGACCTAGAAGACCTGAGTGATCTGTGAAGTTGATGCGCTGACAACAAATCTGTTATGTATTGAGGAGTTGATTCATTCAGTGATTTATAGACTAACAGAAGGATTTTAGAAATGGTTTACCCTTTCTGAATGTGTCACTGATAAACCACATTTCCTTGTTCTCCTGTTCCCCTTTTCTATTTCTTTTATAGTTTAATGAATTGTATTTTTTTATGGCAACCCCTTCAGACTCTATCTCATTCCAATGCAGGCTAATTGTAGAACCATCTGCACACACACAGCATGTCTATTTTGTAAATGTGCACATTGATTCACACAGTGAGTGTCTCCGTCCAGGTGTGTCATCCTGCTGCCAGCCAGCCTGGTGCAGACTAGACCCTGGAGACTCCAGCTGATGAAGTAGCAGACAGGAAACCTTTGAACTGAATGCACCACAAATGCAGAGAGTGTGTGGCGTAGGCATTTTGCCATGGTCATGCAGGGGGAAGTCAGTCCAGAATGTGCCAGTGAACCCTTCCTCTGAAATGATGCCCATTCACCACAGAAACTTTCCCTCATGCATCTTCAGCTCATCTGCCAATCTTTTAAAATCCATCCTCCTATGCCTTCCTGCCGCCTATTCTATTTTCAGTTTAAGACACATTTTTAATTTTAAAAAAAGCCCACACAGAGCCCTGCCTGTGTTCCCTTACATTTGTCTAAACAACTCATTAGTCTGTTCCGACCTGTGAACAGGTGTAAATGGTTTGCGTATCACATTACTTCACTGATTCGAAACCTGGTCCGCTGCAGGTGATGTGATTATATATTATTTATAACACTCCACAACGCTATCTTTCCACCCATAATGTTGCCAAATATACATAAGGAGGTCACCTGGGGACACAACGTCCCTCTTTAACAATCCACTGACAAATAGAAGTGAGGTAATGCAGCTTTGTTTCTAATCATGCTTTCACTACTGTTAATGTTGCCATAATGACGCCATAATCAACCTCCTAATTAAATGTCATTACAGAGAGTGCTTGTGTTGTGCTCTCCATGCAGATAGAAGAGGGTCACCATAATCACACAGTATATGAAATGATGAGGGAATGACCTGATCTTCTGCTTATGGGTCACATTAAATCCTTTCTAAAGGTTATAGAAAGGTGATATGATGGCAAATTGACATCATGCATAACCTACTATAGGTTTTAAAAATAATGCTGAGCTAAGCACATCCTGATGTGGATGATTTTCCTAATCCTGATTTGACCTAATCTGATCTAACCTTCACCTGGAACATCTTATGGCAATAAGGAAATCTATAGGAATAATGGGCTAGATTTACATCTAAAATAATTTGTTAAATTTACTAATATCATAACTTTTCAACAAGTGAGTTGAATGTATCCATCATACCATTTAGTGCCAAAGTATTATAGAGGTTCAAGATCTGTAGCATTGATAAGCTAAGTTTTAAACTAAGAACATTTAAATTAGTGTAACAGAAAATCTTTAGTAAGTTATGAGGAGATAGCAGCTGTCTATATTTCTCTCAGATCTTGCTGTAATCTTTCTGGTTCTGGTTCCCTTTTCTGTCTCAGGCTGCATTAACTCCAACAACTGTATAGAAACTTTAGCCCCAGGGTGGGAGATATCCAGAGGCGCTAAGGTGCATCACGTTGGATACTGTTGTTTTTGTGGGGGGGGTTCTGAACACATTTTCTTAATTTTTCTAATTCATATAACACATTTTTTTCCAGTAAAATGTGTTGAATTCAAAGCAACTGAATTTGGAAAGTTTTGAATGGATGAAAGACGCACCAAATCTGATTACATTAAATCTGAAGGTGGTTTGCCAGAAAATGTGGCTAAAAGTGTGGTAATTCATGCAGTTATAAGATTATTTTCTTCTAAAAGGTGATTCTTCTGTGAATTGTGCAAGGGATATGTAACAGTATAAGACTGTATCATTGTTATCATTATAGTTGTTTTTATTAATAGAAAAACAGGTATTTTAACATGGGTACAAACACTTTGGACAGCCACTGAGTTTTTTTCTGTCCTAAATGCAAGTTGAAAGCCTTATCAAGATTTTTATGAATATCCGAAGTGTGGAGGTTTGGTGGGCCTTTTTTTTTTATCCATACAAACCAAAAATTTGGCTTAAAGAAGTAACCCAGCAGTTTTTTTTTTTCTTCAGTTATATTCTTTTTACACTTTGGTTTTGGAAAGATTGTAACCAGATGCTTCTGTTGTTTTTAGGTGAGGAAACCTGGCTCGCCTTCACCTGGAACATCTTATGGGTATAAGGCTCGTAACCCTCTGGTGACGACAAGTGTGGACTTCTGGATCAAGTGTTCAGCGGACTCTGCTTCTCAATAATATTTTCTACCTCTTCTTGCTTCTTTACTGGACAAGAAAGGTGTTTTTTCCCCTCTCTTTTTTGTTGTTTGTTTTTGGAAGCAACCATCTTGAAAAGAATGACGGCGAAAGAAACTCATTTCAATATTTGACAGAACTAACCCACTTTTCATGCTCCAGCTAGCTGGGGCAAAGGGGAAACTTTGCATTTACCAGGCAGCATCAGAGAAGGTTGTCAGCCATTTAACATTCAGGGCTATTAATCAAGTGACCTCCAGATCTAATTAGCTGCATACAAAACAGCCACACACTTACATAAACAGTCGCATCTGGCTGCTGAGGTGGTCTGCTTGTAACGAGAGGCACACAAGCTTCAAAACAGCCGAACCTTGTCAGGTATTAGATGTCTGCCTACACTTTATCATCTCTCTTCGACAACACTGACCTTGATGTAGAACAGAGATGATTGTTTGTGTTTGTGTGCATTAGCTGAAGATGGTGACATGCTTTAAGTGCAATGATTGATAGTGACAAAGACCCCTGATGGTGACTGTGTGGCTCTGATAAACAGGGAAAAAGAGGTGCTGCCTGCAGCAGGGAAGCTCAAATAAGAAGAAAGCTGAATATCCTCAGATTTTTAGAGTCACATCCTTAAAATAAGGACACACAAAAGTGGTCCATGCTAATTGAGAACTGCACATGTCACTCTGCCTGACACGTTGTCTGAGTAGATTAAAGTCAGACCTCTTGTAGGTCATGTCACTTTGACTTAGATTTGACAACATCAAGTGGCCACTAAAAAAAAAATGTCTGACCCTGCAAAAACACCAGCACCTTGAAAAAAACTCCATCACATTAGTCTACCTGTCTGTCAGCGTGAGATATAAAAGTTGTCTGTTGACTTTTTGAACACCCCTCATGAACGCCTTCCCCTTCTTCTCCACGCCTCAACCCAACACACCCACCATCCAGTCGGTGTGTAAGCCCTGTCTTCGGGGCCCCTGGAGAATGAACGATGTGCCCACACTGGACTACGAGTCGCTGCTCTCCTCAGCCAGCTCCTCTCTGCCCAGCAGTCCAGGCAGTGGTGGTAGCAGTCCCCCCCTGGCCTTGGTTGCGGTGGACACGGAGCAGCGTACAGCATTGGCCTTTGTGGGCCTCCTCATGCTCTTCTTGGTCTTCCTGCTAGTCAGATGTTTCCGGATCCTATTGGACCCATACAGTCGCATGCCTGCGTCATCCTGGACTGACCACAAGGACGGTCTAGAAAGGGGTCAGTTTGATTATGCACTAGTGTAGGGTGTTTATTGGGTTTTTATTGCACATAGACTTTTGTGTGTCTCAGACTGCGCTGATATACGCTGTGGTGTTGTAAATGCACTAGAAGATGGGTAGAACTTTTGTTTGTATAAACTCAGTGCTGCAGGAATTTATAAAACAGGTGTTTTTCTTGACAAACACACTACTGTGAAATGGTATTTGCCCTCTCACAGATACATTTATTTTTGTGTTGTGCTTTTGACTCTTGAAGGTTTCTGATATTTAAACAAATGTCAATATCAGACTGAAATATAGCAAAGACAATATATTTTCTTTTGATTATTTCAATTGTTATGAGAACAATGGCCTTCCCTTGTTTGCTGTTGAAGATTTACAAAAACTCAGTGAAGTCTTTCTTTTTGCACACTATCTTTACAGAATTGTTTTAATTTTTAAAAAACTGGAGATATTTACAGTGTTTCATGTGGCTATATCTCTCATGCTGTGGGATTTAAAGATCAAAGCTACAACTTAAAAATTAAAAAAAATTAATAAAGGATAAAAAAAATATATAGTATATAAAAAATATATAGTATCTAAAAAAATTGTTTTAGAAATTCTGATGGGTCCGAAATATATAAATATTTTCTTCTACTTATGAAACCAATGGTGACGCAAAAAGAATCTGCACCAATTAAAACAGTAGGTTGAGGTCACATGACCTGGAGCTCAGGCTGTGTGAGCTCCTAGTAGATCTATGTTAGAGCTGAGAAATGGTTTCTTCTCTGAGTTGCATTTCTCAAATTAAAGCTAAAAAGGAACAACCCTCTCCAAAAAAAGATAAACAAAGGTTAATAACGGTTGAGGTTTCTAGTGTTGCTGCTGACTTAAGGAAGGAAAGGTGCTCAGAAGCCACACAGAGGTTGCTGCTTGCCTTCTGGAGAGGTAGGTTAAATGTTTGTTGACCTGCCACCCCACTGGCAAACAGTATAGTACCACAGTGGGTGAGGGCAGGTGTGCCACTAACTTGGCTAGAGAAGGTAGACTAACTATCTACCTTTATGCACTGACTTTCACCTAGCCACCTCAAAACCTTTATATTGTCAATATGATTTGTGCTTTTAGGCCATTAGGAGGAAGATAAGCGTTGTGTTCTTCAAGACATTGTCCTGCTGCCTATGTAAAGTACGGAAAAGCTTAAGCTCACAAACTGCTGCAATGGCAGCAGGAGATTCTCCTCTGATCTAGCGCTGATCTAGTGCTTCTGCTCTCTACTAAAAAAATGTCATGGCAATTAGCCATGGTCCTGATGCAGCAGAGCAGTCACAGATTATCACATCATCACCACCCTGTTCCACTGTCAGAGTGATGTTCCTACTCATTCTGCACCAGAATACCCAATCTGATGAGTTTTAACCTTTTTAAAATGTCCTGTTCCACAGAAGTTTTCCAATATAAAATGTGAGATTGGCCTCTTAAGTTTTTTTTGTTTTTTAGTCTGCAGTGGTTTGGGCTTAGAGCTCCTCCATTGATGACATTTTTGGCCAGTCTTTTTTTTATTTTAAGCCAGGAACCATTAAAAGAGGCAAGTGTGGCCTGCAGTCAGACGATGTTCTGGTTGAACCTCTGGATGAGTCATTAATTCTTATTTTAAGTGATTTGGAAACTTGGTTATTCCACTTTTTAAGCATATTTTCCCCATCCGTATATGGATGTCTCTTACTTTGGTTTATAGAAGTCCTACTGTAAAGCCTTAGAAATGTCTAAGGCTTTCCAAACTAATAGGATTTCTGTAGATTGGGCCTTGATGTTGCGTTATTATTTTGAATTCTTAGACTACTTAATGTCTATTCAGGTGATTACTTGATTCATTAAGTCTAATAGTAATCGTGCCTGGGTGTGGCTTGTAAAAGTGAGCTCACCTTTTAATGAATGCGCTTATTTCAGATAGAAAAGGGTGAATGTACTTACTTTTTCACAAATGGCTGGGTTGGTTTCTAGTTTTTATTTATTTTTAACTGTGTTAAGTATAGTAATAAAAGGCAAAATCACAGTCTTAGAGAGTTTTCCACAGCGATGACACTGAACCTCAAAAAACAGATAACATGAGCTGTATGGCTGCCTTAACCTGCTGTAATGTACCAGTAAAAAAAAAACCCATCGGACTTGAGAGCATCATTATTTTGATTTAAGTCCAACAGTGCTTGGTAGTAAAACAATATGCTTTTTTTTTTTTTTTCAAGCTCCAGCTGGATTTTTTAGTATTCACTCTGTGCTCAATGCAGGCAGATAAAACACCTCAGGCATAGGATGGACTCAGATTTGGTATATTTTTAAGCAGATGCCCCTTTAATGCATTACGTCCTGTGCAGAGTGTCTGAGTTTTAAGTGCTGATCCAGGAGCTCAGCAAATTACTTTTCACTTGCTGATTTTGACATCCCAAACATTTTTGCAGCTTGTCTTGCTTTTCAAAGTCCTTGAAGATAGTTTTAGTAAAACCCTGACAGTGTAGGTTTTAAGGTTCATGGTGTCTACACTGAGAAGCCATATTAAAACAAGGAAAAAAAAAATCTTTATTGCTGCAAGTAAAGTGTTATGTGTTTGCAAAGATCAGAAAACTGGATTATTAAGTTATTTTTTTATTCTTGACTCAAGTTTAGGAGTCTTCTTTTTTCTATCCTTTTGTCTCTTCTTCCTAATAAGCCGACTTTCAGACAGAAACTTTAAAGGCTGTCATGCAGCCCTGTTTTAGAAGGAGGCAAAACAAAAGGCTTTGCTTTTTGTGAGTGCTTTTTCTGAGTGGATGCTTTGTTTTATAGTGCTGGTTTAAATCAGTGAGATAAGAACTGTTTCTGCTAAATTGTTATTCACTGATATGTGCTCATAAATAAGGAATTCACAATCAATGTTGGAAATGATATAAAATAAATGACACCTAATACCTTTAAGTTCTGTTCTTTTTTTGGTTGTTCTTATTTCTTCATTCATTTCATCCATGTTTTACAAATTAATATGTCTAACAGTAGTTCTTTAAAAAAAATACAAATATCCTTTAAAAAAAAAAAAAACCTGAAAGAAATATTACAAGTTTTCTTTTTTATTAAAAGGACATGTAACATTTGCTCCTGTTCACAAGTGTTATTTAATTCTGCTGAAGGTAGAAATGGTCCTTTGGATTGTAATGGTTGGATTATATGGTTGGTTTGCATGAGACGCCTGTCTTGGTAGGTTTATTCCATTCTTTACATTTGGATGGAAATAAAAAGTGATCAATGAAACATTCAAAGAATATTTTTCCATGTCCTAACCCTGCTTTTAACTACTTAACATCTTTGGCTTTGGTCTCTCTGCTGTACTCCAGTGTCTCGTGGTGCATTTTTTTGCTCTAATTTTCTTTGATTTCGCAAATTAGGGGACTTAAAATTTTGGGGAATCTGACCGACGGGGTCTGAAACAAATGCAGACCAAAATTTTTACATTAACTTTAATTTAAAAAGTTTTGAAAAACAAGTTTTATTCTGCTCCACAATTATGTGCTAGTTTTTTTGTTGGTCTGTCACATAAACAAACTAAAGGTTGCACACTGCAAAAATGTTAATCTAAGCAAGTCATTTCTTTCTTAAAATGAGGGCATTTCTTCTTAAATTGAGCAGGTAAGTGAGACACTTTGCCAATGAAATAAGACAATTTACATTAAAAAAAAGTCTTATTTCAATTGCGTAATATTTAATTATTTTATTCTAAGGGTATTCATGTTCATTCCATTATCAGATCATCTTATTTTCCTACTCAGATTAAGGCTAAATAGACTTATTTTAAGACTTGTTTACTCATTTTCAGAAGGTTTTTGCAGTGTAATATCATAAAGTTGAATAATAAAATTACAAATGATTAGTCATGTAGTCAATGTGATAAATGTAAACAGCAGTTTTAAATTTTTTGCATATTCATCTAAATAATGTGACTGCAATAATCAAATCCATGACATTCCAATTCAGTTTTCATGTTTTCAACTTTGAAAACCACCAAACTTAAAAAATACAACAACAACATTTTATTGGCATGAATATCACCGCACAAAAGTGTACAATGTTTACATTTTTCACAATCGTTGTAAAAAATCTTTGGTTTCCATCCTCAAACAATAATTTTAGATATAAAAAAAAGAAAAAAACTCCAATGGGACCAATAGATGTGGATGGGACAGGATGATTGTCATAGCTTTGAGTTACATCATGGGGTTTCAAGTGGATAATTAAGAAAACAAAAAACAGAACACCTGTCTGCTACTCAATCTCTTTGCTAAAACCTGAATAAAGGATGGCGATGGCAGTATTCAAGTTTAACTCTGAAGGTGGGTTACAGTAAGCACACCTTTTAAACAATCAAAGCGGCCAGTTGAAGAAAAAAAAATTGCAGATGACAGCACAGACACAAAGTATACAAACTTTATGCGATTAGAAAGTGAGGAATTAAAAACAAAGTTCTACTGTTGTATTAGGTGGAGTGCAACAGCCCTGAATGTTCATAGAAAATGATTATTGTAGCACCAGCTAGATCCCAGCATTGTTTGCAAGGATGCCGCGTCATCTCCGGCATCCTACAGACAGTGTAAATTTCCCTGTGTTTTATCACCTTTTGTTGATGACTGATATGCAGTCATTGATTATTGTCACACTTCTTTATTTTGTTTTTTTGGACTGCCGTACAAACAAAAATACTACGATCACTAAAAGCCTTCAATCTGAATGTTTCATGTTGTTGCCGTAACAGAAAAAAAATCTACCTTCGCATTAAAATATACAGTTTATTACAAAGAAGCACGTTCGATAATATGTTTTTCAGACGTTTCAAAAGGCAGACATACACAACAAAATGTAGTAGAAAAAACTTTTGCAAATTTAACACTGCACTTAGCTTTGTACAGTAACAGAGATGGCATAATGTAGCACCGTTTCTCTTTGAGAGACTAAATAACTAGATCATCTTATTTTCGTGAGGTCTTGTGTTCGCCTGTGTTTGCTCTTCCTCCTCTCAAAAGTACTAATTTGCAATGTTGTGAAAACAATATTCTTCTTATATCCACCCCATTTCTGATTTCTTATGCTTTTGACATTTAAATGTATCATCTAATCAAACAAAGATAACCGAAAATATCTAGGGTCGCAACAAACAATTATTCTGCAAATTGATGAATCTGCCGATTATTTTTCAATTAATCGATTAATAATCGGAGCGCCAACTCCTCAAAGAAGATTTTTTTATACAATTAAAGTGGGTGAAACTAAAACTTTTACACTAGATGGAGCATTTTGACAGATGAAAACAATTTTTATATCCTAAATGTGAAATGTTTATATATATTTTCTTAAAATTTTGGTATAATTACTGCTCTAAGTGGGTTGCTCTTTCACTTGAAGACATGATTTGGAGTCTCTATACTCCAGTTAACGATTAATAGATTTCTAAATTAGTTGACGATTATTGAAATAATCGTTTAATCTGATTAAATATTTCAGCTCTAAACATATTCAACCTAACCCTGTGCGAAAATACTATTGCCCTCTATATAAGTTCATGAAATAACTCATGAATTTTTTTATTGGATTTCTCAAGCAACACCAATGCTTAGGCAATGAAGCACCTAAACTATTCAAGAATTGGTTAAAAAGAAAGTCCCTGACATCTACTACCCCTTAAAGGGTAACAGAGCTATTTGTAAGGCGTTCGTACTCAAAAATAGAATGCCACAAACAATTAAAGCTTTCAGTCTACATGTCTTAATCTTGTCCTTTAAAAGTCAAGCATACGCAGTTATCTTTGATATAAAATCAGTTTCATGATCTGAAATATTTAGGCGTAAATGGAATCAATGTGGGAGGGGACAAATACTTTTCCACAACATTGCATGTTATAGCTGTCATATACCTTTGAGATGGCTCGTGATGCGTTGTAAACTAGCCTTCAGATGTCAAAGAAGTCAGACAGTCAGTAAGTTCAGCTATAACTCCTGCAGCATTTCAGGAGACCTCCTACTCTACGACAAAGCTGGCTCTCAGGATGAGAATCAGCACACCTGAAGCGTAGAAAAAACGAATGGTCTATCTTTCATTAAAACCCTATGAGCTGCTTATCGGTGTTTCCCTGCCCGTGACGGATGCTGAGAGATGCTAGCTCCCTCTTTTGTTTCAAAGTCAGCATCACAGCATGGTGTCCGCACTCGGAGAGAGGTACTGAGGTAAGCAAACATGACAGCACACACGCATGCAAACACGCCAATCCCTGCTTTGCTCTCTGCCATGCGAGCACCAGCAACAGTCGGTCTCATCAGACCAGATCACAGCTTCCTTGTGTCTGCATCTGAGGACTGGTTGAAACCGAAGCTACGAAGGACAGAGTTCTTTGGACGTATGAACCTGAAATGCTGTGTAAATGTTGCAGTCCTTCGTGGTGATGGCATTAAAAAAAAAAAAAAGGACAAACACAATAAATGGCACACTTGAATACAGAGAGGGGCGAAATGTGTGTAACTTTATCCGCAGTTACGGGATTGTTTTTTTTGTTTTGTTTTTTCTTAAGATCACAAAGATGTGAATTAATCCTAAGGCCGGGTATTTTTGCACAATTGAAAACATACATTTTAGCTCAGCCCCAACATTAACTGAATAAAACCTCCATCTAACCTTTCACAGACATGCTACGTTATGTGTATGGAGCTGCAGTGGTCCAAGCACAAAAGCACCTCTTTGCCATCTTGTCCTCTGTTTCTCAGGGGAGAAATGAGTACTGGGCCAGACAGAATTACAGTCATTGTACAAAAATAAGAAAGAAAAAATCAAACAACATATAACTTGAAGAGTAACAAAGTGGTGGTAGAGGTGGGCTTATTGACTCAGTTTCTTGTAGCCCCTAATTCTCCCCCTGTTAGTCAGATGGTTCTTTCAGGGGCAGAGTTATTTGATAGTTTAAAAAAAAAAGTCCAGAGAAGGATTGCACACACATGGACTGAGCTCAGTGCAGGTGAATGTGGAGCTTGATGAGCAGAGCATCTCCTATCTCCCCCTGTAGGTAGTCAGAGTCGTGCTGCTCCTCCAGCTGATGTAATCTGCGGGGTCCAAACAGAGGCAGGCTGGTGACCTCCAGCCGGTAGGACCCTGGAGGGGGTGGTCTCTTCCCGAGCCTGAGGACGCTCTTTCCATCTCTGCGCTCCATGAGGCGGAAGTGTTCGTCGGTGTTGCCGCGGGTTATGATGTAACGTACGTGATGCTCCAGGGGCTCAAGTGCAGGGAGGAGCTCAAGCAAAGGCTCCTTGTTGAGGAGTGAGGCCAGCGAGACGTTTAAGGGGATGAAGGCCTGGGTGTCCACGCTGGCCATACTTACAGCTGGTTCCTACAGGAAGAGAAGGAGAGGAAAGTTAATAACTCTACTTAAACTAGTTATTAAAACCAAAAGTGATATTAATTAAAAAACAATTGTTTTGGTTCTTTTAAAATGTATGTCTGGTTCAGCTTTCTAAAGAGTGAAAATGTTCAAGCTGACTCTGATTGGATGCAGAGTATCTGTAAAAGCAGTTTTCAAGTTTTGGTCATAGATTTTTAGTTGGTTTTAGGTCTGGACTTTGGTTTACTCCAACTCTGGATCATTCCATATTAGCTCTGAATGTTACCTGCAGCTTATAACTGATTTCCTTTAGGTTTTTCTGGTAATTTGATGCATCCATCTTTCCATAAACTCTGACAAGCTAATCTTAAAGAGACATTTTGTAAGGTTCAATTGAAAATATCTTTAGAATAGCCTTTTTGTTGAACCCTGTACTACTGAAACATTGTTTCATGAGCAGACTGACACCTCAGTAGTTCAGCGCTCATGCATCTATAAACCTGTAGCCGATTTTCTGTAAAGTTGTGGGGAAACAAACTGTTTCTGAATTCTCCCAAGTGGTGCCTGACTTTACACGAGTGAATAAAGTGAATGTGATTGGTCGTTTATCAAGATGGGGAAGTTGTTGTTGCGGAAGGTCCGCAAGCAAGTTTGGTTGTGGCCAGTTTGTCGGAAGCATCTTCCTAATCAGTTAGCAACTTAGTGCTAGTAGGTTCCCAATGGAAAAATTACATTGGGATCAAGTAGCACTTGGGAGCAACACTGTCAAGGAACGCAATGAACAGCAGAACCATGCAAGAGGAGGAGAGTTTTGTGTCGGAGGTCGTGGATGAGTTTCCTCCGTCATACATTTTTTATTCAGAGGAGGAAAACGGGGACGAATTTGTTGTGGAAGAGGACGCCAGGGCAACAGAAGCTACGTTAGGTGTAGAAGGCTTAAAGCTGTACATGTTTGAGCTGTTCTGTTAGCTCTACGCCTGCAGAAGACACAGACGTCCATCCCCGTGAACACTGGGACGTAACTCAATGGTAAAATAAATTATTCTTATTTCAACCGTTGCGTATATAAGCTGAGAGATATGAATCAAGATGCTATGACCAAAAAATGTGATTGACAGCAACCGCTTATTGAATACATCATGTGATGCTATACATACAGCCACTCTCTAATGTGACTGTGGGTGGCATTTGGCCTGGAGCTGATGACATCAGCTCCAGGCCAAATCAATTTTTAAAGTAGCATCAACAACTAACATAAAGTATATTTTGTCTTTAAACACCTAAATATGGTTTATCATTATCATTTCATTGTATTTTGTTTTGTTTTTTAGAATATCTCAATACCCCATACTTACTGATCTATAACCTCACACCCTAACTTAAGGTCTAAACTCTCTCTAAGCTGTTCAAAGCTTGTGATTGAGCTGTTTAATCCAACTCTTCCATCACTTTATCCACACCCATATACAGTACCTGGAATGCCAGTTGGGTTTCTAAAGGACTGTTTAAGCAGTAGGTGACTCCCGAATGAAATTTCTTATTGGTACCTGAGTAAATCCGATTATATACTCCTGCCATACTTATGCGGCAGTGTGGAAAACGCTGTAGTAAGCTGAAGCACGCTTGCACACGTCAAAATACTCTGTATGCAAGCGTATGCCATACGTGGGCCATAGTTTACAGGTAATTCAGGTAATTCATCTAATCGTTGACAAACGTTAAATGTAAGTTACTCATAAGTCGTGGTGTCCAGCTTATCCAATATCTAAGAGTAACTGGTGCATAACTTATGTGTAACTCATTAAAAACTTATCTCCAACGCATATCAACATATTTGACGTGTTCCAGACGGCCGCTGAACGTGTTTCTAACTTACTGCTACCGTATAATGGCGTATTTGTAGTGTTTCGGTATGAAAGGGGGTTCACAGGAGAAAACTGTTAGTTTTACTCTACACTGCATCCCCATCATAGGGTGAGCGTGAAGGTGAGTGTGATGGATCCGTGCATTCAAGCCCATGGCCACAACCAACAAAATTCCTAGCAGACATGGAGCTGTGTCTGCAGAGAGGGGCAAATGCAAACCTTCTTTCTTTTTATTTTTTATACTGATGATTCACAAGCCAGTGTCCTGAGGGGAGCAGCGATGGGCCGCAGGCATAGTTCGGGCATCTCTGGGCGCATCACTGCTCCCCTCAGGACACTGGCTTGTGCATAAATTCTTGGGCATTACAATGCCATGCGTTATGCATAAGTTAGGCGGTCGTAGGACATAAGTTCTGGACTCGTAATGAATATGCAATGTATATGCCAAAAATTGAAAAAATACATAGAAAGTTCAGTGTATGCCAGCGTTTTAGCAGGTTCTGGAACTTCAGCATACGCTGGCTAAATCATCAAGGTCAGGGCTTAAGTTAAAAAAAAAATTTTTTCTTCCTTCCACTTCACCATTATGTGTTAAATACCGTCATTCTATGATATTAAATACAGACTTTACAACACATCCTGTAAAACAACACAGTCTGAAATGATATTAATGCTTTTGAAAGGTACTTTATAAAGAATGAGAATCATAGTATTTACCTGATTAAGTTCATTTTCATCGGCACTGCGCTTGTGTCGTCCATTCTTTCCTCCGCCATTGATCTTGCATTCGTAGCAAGCTTCAGGAGAAAGACTGTCATCCTCATCTCCATCCACAAGGTGTCCTGGGAAGCCTGAACCGGAAATACAGTGACTGTGTGGAAACAAAAAGAGAAAACAATTTCAGAATTATTACATAAAAGCCATGAAACACGACTAAGGTGGCACATAATCCCTCACCCCTGGCCAGCTCTAAAGAAACCTCCTGGACAGCCGCACAGGTATCCTCCATCAGTGTTGGAGCAGCCATAGATGCAGGGGTTTGTGCCAGTGTTACATTCATTCACATCCTGGCAACCACCGGCGGTTTCCTCAAAGTCAAAGCCAGAAGGACAGACACACTTGAAACTTCCCAGGGTGTTGTAGCAGGAAGCAGAGCCACACACAGTCCCACCCTGACACTCATTTTCATCTGCAAAAAAAAAAAAACATATTCATATAAATATACTAGTGTAATAACTTAGTTTACGTTTAATTGGTTTTTGGTGTACGTCTATTTTGAATTTATAGCCCCTCCTGGAAAAACTCCACCAGCCGTCACTGAGTATTACCTATATTATTTTACAAAAAGAAATAAAAACCTTTTTTATTTATAACTAACTTCAAACTGAAATATCTTTGAGATTTTTAGATAAATAATGTATATGTAAAACATATATCATAATGAGAAAATGTAGGCTAAGATGTGAATAGGATGCTTGTGGACTTGGATTTAAACGGATGTATTTAAAACAATACGTACAGTAAAAACAGTAAATTAAGAGGCAATTTGAAATGAACTTTAGTTCTGAAAAGAGGAAATTAAAACAAATACAAGGTAAAAGTGATCCCAATCAGTTGAAAGGTTTCTTTTGCCTTGAGGCTGCTCTATTATGGTTGATCATTTTGATGATGAACTGCAAAAGATCTAAGATTTTTTTTTTTTAGCAGATGCATCCCGATTACAAACATAGTTTAGCTCCTGCCTCTGTAACGATACGCACGCCGACAGTGCTTTGCTCTATGAGCTCCATGCATGCGCCGCCACATCAGTTTTGCTGGACCCATCGCTACTTCAGAGAAATATCTTGTCTTAAATTAGGTGCAAACGTGTTTGTAGCTAATAGTGGAAATTATTATTCAGTAATAGTTTCCTCCCAGGCACCATTACATGAGGGAACATATTTTTAGGACTTTATCGGAATCTAAATGACTTTATTAATCCCTTGTGGGAAATTATTTTCTTGCAGTGCAACCATTTACAGAACAGAGAAAGTTAAGATTGCGATAACAATAGAGCAAAATAAATCATAGTATAATAAGACAGTCTAAGATAAGCAAAATTGGTCAAATTACAACCCACACAGTAAAAATACACCCTTCCCATATAAACAGAGTAAAATAAGATATAAAAATAAAATAAGATAAGATAAGGATCTATGCTGATGAAGATTCTTAGTCATCCAGGTCATAGTCATTCTGTAAA